ACAATATGCGTTTTTGCTGGCTGTAGCAGCGCTATAGCGCTGCACAGCAAAAACGCATAACAAAATGAGTAGCGCAATAAATACGAGTATGAAATAAGCAAAGACAATAGTCTTTGGTGTTGGCTTCTACGGCAGCAAAGACAGCAGCAACCTAGCGCAAGCACACCATAAATGAGTTCCATTGCGGGATGAATGCCCTAAAAAATTGGAACTAAGTAGGCAGCCATAACGAGCACGCATTTTGGAGCGGCACCGCTGGACTTGTTTCTTCTGCGAGAAATACAATTCGGGAAATACGCAAAAACTTATGCTATGCCGATAACCAGGAAGCCCAAAACACGCTGCGCCGTTCTCTGACTGGTTCAGACGACGTGGATCATTGGCAACAGGGAGCAGCAAACAGACAAAACAGAGAACACATCGTATACGTGAGGATGAGGTTTCCTCAAGTAGTGCCATGACAAATTTCATCAAGTGCTTCATATAACTATACAAACGGAATGCCTGTAAAGGTATGCAACTGAGCTGGCAAGTGAATCTTCGGCGCCCACCTGTCCAGACCGGCATACTTTAGCTTAAAAAGCTGTTTATCGGCCTTTATCTAAGTAGAGGTCCTGGTTACATGCCTAACTGCTAAATAGGTTGCAGCTCCCAAGCCAATTCCAGAAGGGCAGACGATGGGGTGCGCAACCAAGAAAGAGTAGTGAAGTTTGGGGTTAAGAGCGAGCTAAGACGTTTCGGTCCATTGAGTCATACACGTCTTAATTCCACACTGCGACTGGACCTCGTGAGTATAAATTACAGTTTTGCCACAAATTTACCCGATTAGGTCCACTGGTTTGTACAACAGAGTAATTTAGTGTCTTTTGGATGACTTTGACATCTCCTTATCTGATCAGCATTTTTCTTGTCTGATTTTATTTTCATCTTGACAAAATTCAGCGCTTTTTGACTCAGTTTTCTGCATTCTTTTCGCACTACTCTGATATTTCATCAATGAAACAGAAAGGTGAGCACCTTTGTTGATTTGCTGTTGGCAGTACTTAATAACTAATCCAAAAACATACTGCCCCGCCTGATAATCATCGGCGCATTAACGTGCGATAATAGAGATAAGCCATTGCAAAATTAGCGACAAATGGCCAGACGATCACAAACAGTATCATTTTCCAACGAACTCGTATATGCAGGAAACTTCTCCGCAAACCAGACAGCGATGCGAAAACGATGCGTCTGAGATAAGTCAACACATTGACAAATGCTTCCAAACTACTCTCCAGCACGCTCCGTGACTCTGTGACGGGAGCAAACTGCAGCGCAATTTGTTCAGTCCTGAAATGATCTTCGTCAAAACAAAGTTACTTTAATTGATCGCCTCGGTATCGGAAATATTATTCATACACTGTTTTTATATGAAATGCGCTGGAAGGAGCTGGAACTGCCAAGCCACCAGCCATTTATCTTAACAAAACTTCCATAAAAAAACGAAGAATTACTGCAGGAAGACCCGTTCAAACCGGAAGTGTCTGCAGATAGAACCTTTCCCAAACCTCGTCCTCTTCCTGAACGCAGCGACTATCATAATCAGTTGAGACCAAACCTTTACCGACAAACAGGAAATGATGTGTTCGTATGTCACAAACGATATGGGCAAATCTAAGACGGACTCCTAAGGGGTGGAGAGGCGGTGGGGATAAGAGGGGAGAGCGGGGCTCTTGGTGGGAAGTAGGAGGGAGGGGAGTAAAGCGACAGGAGTAGAAAAAGAGCCCTCTCCCATCTTGGAACTATACAAAAACTGAAGTAACTCTAAACAGCAATTGTAACACTGCTTTAGTGTTATTTATGAACAACCCTGGGCTTTTGCAGCACTAGTACCTATGCCGCTGAAACCGGCGAAAGGCCCACACCTCCCTCCCCTCAGCCCCCCGGATCAACCTATGGCAAAAGATTATAACTGTATTTATTATCTGCTCTCTCCTGATGTATGTAGAGATATCAATCACCCTTTTCGCCTCTATCATTAAATACCACACACTAACATCTTCATAATAAGCATGAAAAGCTCGCTCGTTCTGGTATACGCTATCAAATTTTTGTTCAACTCCGAAAACACGCGATTACCAGTGCCGATCATTACTTATGCCAGAAAGTTCACTTGTTTTAGTTGCACGAACAAATAATTCACGCCCCTGACGTATGCGATACGTCGGAGCATCGCAATGGAAGTGATCCGATTCCAATATTTTATAACATAAACCTAAGCCACTTCAAACGTATTTGTTGCAAAAGAAGGAGCGAGCAACAAGGAAGCGAAGTTGGAGGCTCAACCCCCTTCGCCTTGTCCAGTTGCCTTCGGTTTCCTGTAGTATGCAAATGTCTCATCTCCTGGCTCGAGTTCCCCCTCCGTCATATTTAATGTGATGATTGAAAATGAAATTATTATTGTAATTGTTGTGTTTGGCACTATCTAGAAGTGCGCGACGAAAGCTTGGAGCTGCTGCCGAGCGGATCTCGAGTTTGTCGCGTTCTCTTCAAATATTTTCTTTGGGTGATTGTACTAATAAAGAAGTGAGTCTAGTTACTTGGTGTTGCTCAGCTGCCGGAGGGCTTCCCCACAGTAGGCAGGACCCCAGCTTCAGCTTCTCCTCCACACGAACGTCACTTCCAACGCATTCTCTTCCAACTTCACTTGTCTTAGCGCATGTCAAAAAGTTTGTTTGTCTTAGCTTGGCAGTTTAACTGCCCCTGGTATATGTGAATGTAACGAAGTTTACCTGTACTTAACCTGTTTTGATGCAAGTTGGATCGCCTGATATGCGCTATGCAGGTCCCCCCAATCTCACGCTAGGCTGCTAGTTAGTGTTTGGAAAGCTGCTTTTGCACATTATATATGTAAAAACAGCAATGTTTTTTTACGACTACTAGTAAGATTGAGATTTTTTTATTCCCACACCGCGAAAAATTAGGTGAAGATCTAGATATTTTAATTACGATAAACGTTAATGAATGTTAATTACCTGTGTCTGCGGTTTGTTGTGTCCACTGCTGAGGAGGAAGAGGTTCGGGCTTCCTGAAATATGTAAAAACTGAATCGCATGCTTCGACATCAAATAATTTGAGGAATTTTCTTCATTTGAGGTAGTGTCAAAATCAGCTGAAAGGAAAGTAAGCACAATGTCCATTTGAGTAACCAGTAAAGTTACTGTGCGTACAATTATAGCGCAAAGAATCAACGAAAATGAAAGAACTGAGCAGGACAGTAACCTCACGCACTTTTCATGTAAATCTAGAGACAAGCTACTCTCCATGAATATTATGGAGGAACACGTTTTATTTGCAAAAAAAGAAGAAAATCTCACCTGTTCGTGATCAGGAACAGTTTCAAAATATTCATCATCACTACAGCTCGAAGCAGACGAGCTTTCATCCACTTGGTGCATTGTTTCGATCTCCTGCAACGAGCTGTTCAAAACAAAAAAAAAGACTTTAAAAAGTTTCTTTTTCAATTTGCCGAAGAAAAAGTTAATCCCTTTGTGAGTAGCCGATTGTCCGATGGTAAACCT